CCCCTCCTAGCCCAGAGCTTGTCCTGGCCCTGAGTTCTGGGGATAAATTCTAACTCCCCAGCAGTGAAAGGTTTCTCCTCAGCACTGACCCTGCAGCCAAAGAGCCTGAGAACCTAACACAGTAGCTGAGCACCACAGCAAAAACTGTCCCTGAGCATCTCTTTCTCAGCAGTTCACACGTGTGGTTTAAGAGGGATTTGTTTGGTTAATTCCTACAGAACTGTCTGGAATATTAACAGCTAAAACTGGGCAGTTGTGATTAACACCCAGGCTGGTTTTGCTTTCAAGTGGGAGCAACTCACTCAACTCTGTGGCTTGTTTAAGTTGTGTCTGTCTCCCAACGTTGGTTTGCATCAAAGAAAGAAAGATATTCCCTCGGGGCTTTCAATGCAAGTGTAAACTTCACTCGGTTCAGACTGATTTCCACTTACTCTGCCGTGTCCTGCTGGGCTGGAGAGGGATTGCTTGGCCAAGCAGAAGGGCCAAGCACAACTCCAGAGATGAGTTTTCCCATGCAGGGCCTGGAGTGCTGCACTAATGCAATGTGTCTGCAGAACTTAGGAGAAATAAACTGTTAGGGTCCAGCTATTACAATTGGCATCTGTGTGGCAGACAGGGCAATGAGCAGAGATTGGCAGATGGTTTATCTACTGCTACTGCAGTGCACAACACACAGTAAAACCCTAATTAGTGCTGTAAATTACTGCTGGGTTGCAATCTCATTGTTGATCCATCTATCTCCAACGATTACAGCCTGGGATAATACACAAGAAATTGCTTTTAAACATCCTTGTGTCCTTTCCCAGCCCCTCTGAGCACAGGGCACACAGAGCAGTGCTCAGAGAGGTGAGTCCTGCTGCCTTGGCCCCTTGCTGAGCCTCAGCAGTGGCATCTTCATTACCTTCCACACTATCCTGCAGCAAATTTTCCCTTTGGATCCCTGTCTGCTTTCCATGCTGACAGGAACTCTGGGGCAGAGACAGGGATGGACCTTCTCTCTCAGCAGCTCCTTCTCTCCTGACAGCCCAGTGACCTTCCCTGCCCTTCTGCTCCTGTTGCCTCATCCAACCTCTCCTTCCCTCCCCAGGCACTGCCAGTCTTGGGCCCTGCTGCACTCAGGAGAGCCTGCCAGGCACTCCCACAGAGCCACATCACAGGGGCAAACTCCCCTCAGGAACCCCAAGACACTGCTGCTTGTCCCAGCAGCTCCTGGGGGCTCCCCAAGCCTCACGAGGTCTCTCAGCAGCAGAGATGCCTCAATGATTTATTAGCTCCTTCCCTGTTGGGGCTACAATGAACTGTAAAACACAGCCCAGGGAGTGGCACCTGAGCCTGAGTGGCAGAACTTGGCTGAGCTTCTCCCTTTGTGAGGCCTCTGTAACAATGTCCCTTTTGCCCTGTGCTCTTACACAACCTCAGACGTCATGGGAAAACGATCTATTCCCACTCCACACATGGTGCTCTCGTGGGCACCGTGTTTCCAGCACAGAATAAAAGGTTTTTCCTCCTTGCAGTGAGGCAGAAACCTTCCCTAAAACCTCTGATACAAGAAGAGCTGCTGCTAAACAGATTTCCCTTGCAACAGCCTCGAACTTCACTTTGCTTCTGGCTGACACAACCAAATGGTCACATCAGCTGATGTACTAAACTCAGGATCTTGCAGAGGTTCCCCTTTCACCCAAGCCCTGCCCTGACACTGCTCCCCCTCTATAAAACCTGATGATTTATCCTTCCATGTGACAGGAAGACAGAACTGTGTCTTTGCCTTCAGTCCCTAACTCAGGACATTTATATGCACTAAACCAGTGTCACACTGCAAAGAACCTTCAGCCAACTGCTCACCAAAGCATCACCTTCAAGAGGGGGAAAAACCAGCCCTGGAGCTCCCATGGGGGAGGTTTTGCTCTGCCAAAGAGGAAGGTTGGAATATCCTCATCTCCAGCCTTTTTGTATTATTCCCTTGTAGAAGCTCATCCAGGAGGGTTGAGCAAAGTTGACTCAAGGCAGGGAACAGCACAGAATTGTCCTCACATAAAGCAATCACAGTGGAAGGGAAAGCAATCCAAGCGTTTTCTGGAGCTGTAAAAGTGACTTCCCAGCAGAACTGGTGGCTGCAGGAGGACACTTCCCCCTCAGCCTGCAGCAGAGTGTGGCCAAGGTTAACCATTAGACAAGCTTCATTACACCTTCCTAAGTGCTGCTGTTTGCTCCCATTACTCAGGTGCTCAATTTCCTTGTAAAGCAAAGGTATTACTACCCTGGACATCACTTCTTAAATGATAAGCATTAAGTTACTCTTCATGGCCAGACCTGATCACTGCTCAGGATGCTGCTCATGTGCTAAGAGAATCAGGCACAGCACTATCACTGCTGCCCCTGGACAGACACTGATCTCATGGCTCTCAGCCACAGCAATTGTACAAAAACCATCCCCTTACAGCATTCACGTGCACTTAGCCTTCCCAGTCAGCCTCCCATTGCAGGAGTAGTCAGAATAATTGAGTCAGTGCTCATTTAAACCCATCTCACAGTCTCAGCCTATGCTGAGCACTGTGGCACCTCCTAATCTGCGAGTGACAGCAGGAACCTGCAGCCCTGATGGCTGATGCATACCAAGTGCTTCTTTTGTCTACAAAACCCTTCCCAACATGAGGTTCTGGTGATGAAAATGCCAAGTGTTGAGCACTGCAGCAGGAACAGGAGCTGAACTCTGAAGCAGAAAGGTGAGAGGTGGAGTTTGTTCCTACAGGACTCCACAGAAACTTCCCTAAGGGAACCACACTTGTTCTGATGCTTGTGCCAAGCTTTCAGGAGGCTTCTGGACTCAAGGTAATACACATCCTCCACTGTTGTTTCAGCTGTCCATGACCAGATGAGAATGGAAAGTCTCCCAAAGCAGGAGGAGACCTCAGCCAGGTGAGGATTGTCTGTACTTCCCTGAGCTGACAGAGCACCACAAGGTACCAAAGCAATGAGCACTTGCACTACACTGAGACAAAGCCAGAATGTTCTAAGAGCAAAACCTCCCAAGAGAGGCACCTTGAGGCTGATTCAAGGGTTTCTTCTGGCCTACTTGCACTCCCAGCCATGCACAAGACACTGACACCACTGGGGCTGTGATGTTCACACTCCCCTCAGCCTCCCACGCTGATTCTAACTGTTCTCTCCAGTTTGGACTAGGAATTGCTTTGCAAACAGCTGTGTTAGTCACTCCAGCAGTTCCTCATACAGAGAAAGGTCTGTTAGCCACAGGAAGAAATGAGCCTTTAGCACAGGAAATAAAAAGATAAGAAGGCAAAAGAGAATTGTGCAGTTATTCTCCAGAACGTTTCTCTCTGTCACCCAGAAGCAAAGCAGCACCAAAACTCACCTCATTAAAATCACAGATTAAGTCACTGTTTAATTAGAGAAAAATCCAAGCCTTTTGTGGACAGGACCTACATTTTTCCAAGCTGTTTCCTCTCCCCCAAGCTGCTTTATTTACCATGGTACAATTAGAGATTTCACACCACTTGGTGGTTTGGGTTTGCAAAACAGGAACATCTTGAGAAAGAGATAAATCAACCAGTTCTGAGAAGCCAAATGGCCACATTGCTGCAAGAGTTCTCCTGAAACATCTGCATTTGGCCTCCTGTAGCACAGACCCAAGGTGCACGTGGAGGAACCAGAGAGCAGAGCTGAAGGAATGCACTGATGGGATTATGCAGCAGTTTCTGACCAGTTTAGCTGCAGCTCATTATCGCTTCTTGGCAACTGTTTCTTCTCCTTTATAAACAACAACATTCTGGTCTGTTTCGTACACTTTCACCTTATACAGAATTCCCACGGGCAGGAGCTGCTGGAGGTTCTCCCAGATGAACACTGCAACGTTCTCTGTGGTGCTGGGAGGGAAACAGGAGCAGAGTCACAACTGAGAAACCTCTCGGGAGCTCTGCCCAGAATGGGCTGGGGGAGGCACCAGGGACACCCTGGGGACACCCTGGAGTGAGTGGGGCTGGACCCAGTGTCTGCAAACAGGGGTGAAACGAGGTCTGAAGAGATCTCCACTGACAGGCTGACGTGAGATGTGAGGCAGCACCTTTCAGATCAAGGACTAAGCCTTGGAGACTGTTCCTTTCCCCTGCAAACCCAGGAGGAGTCCCATCACCCACCTGACAACCTCAGCAAAGTAGGGCACATCCTTGTCCAGGTTTTTGTGGTCGAGTGGGTCCATGATTGCCTCCTGCAGAAAGGGAACAGTGACAATCTGTTCCTGCTTGGGGAGTGGAGCTGAGGGTCAAATAACCATGACCATGGGACTGGGGCAAGGCAACAACATGTGAAACAAGGGTAAGAGCCCTACATCCAGCTGGAGACATGGCACTGCCTCACATCACAGAGCTAAAGCACCTTAGCCTTAAATCATTCCTTAATTTCCTCTTTATTTCCCACCATCTCAGCTCACCATGTCTCCACTGATCCTACACAAACTACTTGAGCTCTAATCAATTCTCCCAGGGGATATGTAGGAAAACTGTGCTGTTACCTGCATATATTCTTTCAGGTCTGTCAGGTTCATAACCATCCCTGAGACTGGGTCAATCTGCAGGGAAACCAAAGGGAGATTAGTAGCTTGGCTACACATCCTTATTACCTGCACAAATCAGAGCTGAATGCCTGTGTTCAGGGCAAGAAAAACAGCTTTCCATTGTCACAGAGTTCCAGCTCTGCTCCGGTGATGCTCCCAAAGGAGAGATACAGCCTACAAACAACTCCAGTGCTCCCACTATCCCATAAAAGCTGGCACAAGGGAGCAACAACTCACTGAGAGGCTTCAAGCAACAATCTAGCATGAAGATAAGCAGAAAAACAGGCATTAAACTGCTTTGTTGAACACCCAAGGACAAAACAGAGCCCAGACTGAGCTCAGGGCATCACCCATCTAAAGAAGGCTCCAGCAAATCCCACTTAGAGGCAAAGTGAACAGGACAGTGGTTATGGGAAAACCTTCCACAGTGATGTGCACACAAACACGGTGGGGAACACAGTCAGAGCCAGAACTTAGCACTGTGGAAGACAAGGAGCCATCCCAAAGTCCTGACACCTCAAAGCACAGCAGAAACCTTGACTGCACTCACCTCTCCACGCACCGTGACTATCACTGCAAAAGAGAAAAGATCAGGTCACCACAAGGCCCTGAAGCTCAGAGCAAAGTACACCCACAACCCACTCACTGCTCACCCACCAGGACTGCTGCAGCGTTCCCAGCACTCAGAAGTGGGGCTGGTTTTATAAAATGGGTATCTACCTCATAAAACAGTGAGCCAGAGTCACCCAGCTCACCAGAGAACTCCTGCTCCAAGGTGTGATGCCTGGAGACACACCAGCACCCCACTGTAGGTGGAGATAAGACTAGATGACTTCTAGGACAGTGTCTGCCTTGCACACTCAGGGTTAGATTCTCTTGACTAGCAAAGTCTTCTGGACAACACAGCCACTGTGAGTTCCCACACTACCACCAGAGCCCCAAGACCACAAGATATGGACTCAGCTTAGATTGGTTTGTGTTGGAAGGGACCTTAAAGACCATCTCATTCCACCCCTGCCATGGGCAGAGACACCTTCCACCAGCCCAGGTTGCTCCAAGCCTCATCCAACCTGGCCTGGAACACTCCCAGGCCTGGAACAGCCACAGCTGCTCTGAGCAGCTTCCAAGTCTTCCGACAAACAACACAACAGCAGAGAAGGAAAGTAAGGGATGGTGTGGTTGACAAACAACACAATAGTAGAGAAGGAAAGTAAGGGATGGTGTGGTCACCAGCTCTCCCAGAACTAGAACTGGTTTGCCTGTAAATCAGCCTGAAAATGAGGGACAGATCTTCAGCCCAGCAATTTGTCTCCCCTGCTGAAGCAAGTGGCTCTGCAGCAGAGGTTTCAGGGTACCTACAGCACAGTGCAAACAGCCAAGGAGCTGGAGAGATCTAATCCTATGTGCTCAGGGTGTAGATAGTAGAACTTGTGAAAACAACATTCAAATAACATTTAACAGGCTGCTTAATTTGCATTCCTTTTGCTTAGAAAAGTCCTCATTCAAATCACCATGATTTGGCAGATTGTAAACGAGTAGATTTGATGCATGGAGTGACATTCTGAGATTAACATTTATTAGCTGTTCAGCTGAAAAGACTGGAAATCCACACAACCTCTGCTGCTGAGGGTGCTTTGTAACACTCTGAACCCCAAACCAGACACTAAAGCTGCCTCAGATTGCTGAGATGTGCCTGGCCCAGATGTCCCATGGGTTATTCCCACCCTGAGAGCCTCTGCCCATCCCTACA